GGGAGGGGAGAGGCACGGTAAGGGGCAAGGGGAAACAGACCACAGAAAAGTGGAGCTAGGGGCTGGAGGATGGGGAAATGGAAAGGAATTTTTAAAACTAAAAAACTCAAGTCACACGGTGTCTAAAATATAAACTATGTTTTAAAAATTAAATTTTAGCCCGGCTGGGCGTGGCTCAGCGGTTGAGCGTCGACCTAGGATCCAGACGATCGGGGTTCGATTCCCGGTCAGGGCCCATGCCCGGGTTGTGAGCTCAATCCCCAGTCGGGGGTGAATTATTAGAGATGACTAAGGACAGTATATGGGGAAAGTTTATTTGGAAGCATACTAAAGACTCTAAGAAGTTCTAAATTAGAAACCTGTTTAGCTTTGTTTAAACAGTGTTTCATAAAATGTTTTTTTTTTTNGATCAATGGCTCTCTCATCATTGATGTTTCTATCTCTCTCCCTCTCCTTTCCTCTCTCTAAAATCAATAAAGATATATTTAAAAAATAATAATAATTGAATTTTAAGTTAGCTGCATGAACTCAGAATGATACATGTTTCCCACTGAACCAGCTGTTTCCAGGTTAACACACAAAGTCTCTAGGAACCTATAAAGTCTGAGCCCCTGAATGATTTACTATTCACCCAACATGTAGGACAGTGGTTCTCAAACTTCAGGGTGTACAGGATGCCCTGGAACACTAGTTTCAACATGAAGACTAACCAGTCCCCATCAAGCAGAGAGTCTGATTTAGTAACCATGGAATGGGACCAGGAATCTAAAATTTTAACAAGTGCCCTACATGGTTCCATTGTAGATGGTTTAAGGACCATTTTCCAGTTTAGGAAAATACAAAATGGATGGCAGGCAAAGGTAGTAGGAATTAAATAGCCTACACAACTGTTTGGAAGTAGATGCAAAGGCTGGGGTCCTAAGTTTCACTTGGAGAAGAGAATGGGTGGAAATAAGGTTGGGAAGGGAAAGAAAGGCTGAGGAAGGTGGCGGAAAAGCGGCCTGGCAACAGCAAGATAAAAAGGCCTTGATCAACAGCAAGAGATGGGATGACAGACATCAACCAAATGTTCTGATCCTAAGTCAAGAAATATTAAAGTTTTCATAGTCATGTGTTTGAAAGATATATTTAGAACATACTTATTTGAGTATATAGTTGGTATAACTATTTTTTTCTTTATCTCCAAAAGACTTGTTCCTGGATTCTAAAATAGCCTTAAAAACACCTTTTCCCTTGTAATAGAAGGATGATCATTTAACTGTACACTTAAAAAAGTGTGCAATAAATAAAATAGTAAATTCTGTTATATATATTTTAACACAAGAAAAAAAACACAGTGAAATGGTAATATCACCACAAGTGCCTGAAAGTGAGAATAGAAGAAAAACATGAGAATGCCTATGAAAGTCTTGCAGGGGGAAAAAATTCAGAAGCACTTTACAAATGCAAACTGCCATCAAGTCTTTAACAGACAACATATGTGATTCACAAAAACAGAAACCTTTAGGTATACCTCAGATTCATCATTTCGTGCTCTCTTTGTAGGAATGCCATTTTCCTATAAAAGAAAAGATGGTATTTATCACTGTAATGTGTCATGAAAATACAGCTGCACCGCAAAGCCATGAAAATATGCCTGTTGCATAAATGTCCTACGAGAGGCTGTCCAGAAACCTGATGCAACAGAGAACCTACCAAAGGCCCCTTCTTTTCTCTCTTAGTATTTGCACCCCCAAATGCATGAGCATCAAAGTGTTCTATAAAATAAATGATACGAAAAGCTAAATTTCTTTCAAGTATATTCGCCTAGTTTTTATAAAACAAGCAAAGCCTCTGTTCAGTCTTTAAGGAAAGACTGGCAGTTTCCAGTGATTGTGCTTAAAACAGTCATTTCATTAATGAAATGAAACTCCAGGGAGCATGACTAACAAGCTGTGAAAGTACTCAGCTGCACCTCCTGCCTGCAAATCCCACCAAGGTGCGATTACTGTGCCTCCATCACGCACTTTTAAATTAAAACAGAATATATGCTGCATTAGGAAGAAAAACTCTGCCATTCAGAAATGCTCACACATTATACGAAACTTTTACACACCAAAATGATGAATGAAGGAAACAAAACAAACAGAAAACCAAGTTTGCTGTAAAATATTATCACTATTCCTAACATATGACATCCCAAAGTACAAAGTGCAATAGTTATAACTAATTATTACGGCTGAGAGTGAGGAAAGCTTATTTACACAACCACTGTGTGTACCAATCTCCACATGCCTAGAATAGCCCTACCCTCAATTTTGCCTAACCCTAAATTTCATATTCCCCAAAACCCATCCTCCTTAGGCAGAATATTATTCCCACTAATTTCTAGCCCACTCTTTGTTCCACACCTCCACCCTTACCTACCATGTTTCCCAATATTATTATTTTTGTTACTAGGTACACATATGTTGTCATGGCACATCCCCATAGCAAGCAGCACCCCATCAGTCCCTCCTTCTTTCATTGCCCTGTTCTAGTTGGATAGCACTAACACTGTTTGATTGACTTGTTTGTTTTTCTGGTTGTCTGTCTCCTCCAACTGAGTGGGAGCTTATCTGTCTCATTTGCCACTGCAATCCCAATGCCTGGAATACTGTCTGGCTCATGCAATGATTATTGAATGATTAAATCAGTGATTTTAAACTGGTGTGCCATGGCACACTGGTGCGCCAAAAGAATTTTTAAAACATGCAATACCTGACTATTTAGTAATGGGCATGGACCTCTTTTCCCTTAGATTGTCAAATAAAAAATTACAACAGTCAACACAACAATAGCCATCCTGTGTGAATGCCGTCTTAAACCATAAATATATAGGTCATATAATAGGGTTGCATCTTATTGGTCATGTCACATAATAAGGTTGCATTTGATTGGTTAGTTCTTGGTACCAGAAATCCTTATATACAAGTNCAATAGGGTTGCATCTTACTGGTCATGTCACATAATAAGGTTGCATTTGATTGGTTAGTTCTTGGTACCAGAAATCCTTATATACAAGTATAGGCACCTGATTCTTAAAAAATCATTTTGGAGCAAAAAGGGTAGAAAATTACTATTATCTTTCATCAATCAAAATTATACCTATTTTTTTTTCAGATCAGCAAAAAATATACTTTTGGGGGTGCCACAGAATTTTAGTAATTATTTTACGTATGCCATGAAATGAAAAAGATTGAAAATTGCTGAATTAAATTAATGAGCAAATGAATAAGTGAACAAATGTACTTTTGGCCAAAAGCAAGGAGAGGTGTTGGGAAATAAAAGATATTTAGGTTGGATAGTTCATTGTCCCAAACAAAACAAAACACATGGATACAAGGACATATGGATGGACGGACACATACACACTCACAGACACACCCACATAAAATGAGTTCTTTCTGCCCTCTCTTTGGTTTCTTCCTCTCTCCAGATTATATGACCCTTCGTTCTGTAGCTGAACACTTCTTAGAAATAATGAGCTGGAAGGATTGCACAAGAGCAGTTAAGAGTACAGGCTATGAGTGAGAGCACATAAATTCAAATCCCACCTCCACAACAGACTAGGTTTGTGACCATGCGCAAGGCACTTAACCTCATTAACAATATAAAGGTAATAGTAGCCCTGGCCAAACTGAGATAATGCCAGGCATGCACTGAGCATGATGCTTTGCTAAGCACTATGAACACTCAATAAATTTTCACTATTATTCTCTTTATTGCCATCATTATTGACAGTCCAGTCCTCTGAAGAGCTAAAAGGCAGCACAAATTCTACTTCAGCGCTCCATAACCTTAGTATGATGCCTTATATTCGGCCTCCCAGGTAACACCGAGGTCAAACCACTCTTGCATCTGAAGCAGCTTCCTGGCCTGAGACCTACACTGATCTAAAAAGCCCAACCCCATCAACCAGCCCCATATGATATTGACATGGGATGCAGTCCTGGTTATTCACTTAAGAGCTGTGCCCCTTAATAAATTTGGCAATGAAATAAATGAATTAACTACTCGAATTTTAAGGAAAGAATTTCCAACTTAGGATAACTGACATCTGCTACTAATTATGTGATCTTGCCAGCTAGACGAATGCTCCCATGATTCGGGGCCACTCTGAGGTCCACCTTCAGCAGCAGGTCTCCCACTCCTACTTGACTTAAGTTTTCCCACGCTCATATCTGTCAAGTCCTTTTAGGTTCTAAGAGAATAGCTAGTCAAAGATTACCATTTTCCAACTTTATTTTTCCAGTATCTGCTTCATAGAGTGGGTCAAGACCACAAGCTTTGTGACCAGAAATGCTAGTTCAAAACCTGGATCTGGCACTTACCAGCTGTCTGATCTTAGACAAGTCAATAAAATGCCTTCAGCTTTGGTGTCCTTGGAGATAATAATAGTAACGCATAAGGATTAAATAAAGTGCCACATGTCCATATGGTGGCCAGCAAACAGAAAAACAAATCCACGAATGTTAACTATCTTATCATTATTATTAAAAATAAGCCTGTTGTTAACCTCTTAAATTCTTAACCGTAAATCTTTAGTTCCTACCAGATTCTAAGCTTTCTGGTCCACTAACACCTCTTTCTCCCCAAGTCTTCCAGACAGAATCCTACTCTCATACAACTTTGAATTCATGAAGGAGGCTTACAGTCCTGTGGCAGTATCTCCTTTATCCTTCCTGACTTGTGACCACATTCTTTCCTTTCAAGATGCTTCCAAAAAGCTTTTTATGGTGATATTCGAAGTGTATATTTTCATCCCCCAAATAAGTTAAAACAATACCTTTTTGGAGTCCACCTTCAGAGGAATATCATGAAAGGGGGAAATATAGTGACCAGCTTCATTCTCTGGAAAGGAAAACAAATAAACAATTAAAACAATGAACTATCCTGTTCTTTAGAGCAAGTATACCTTTATCCACTTTTGTTTTACATATATCTTTATTGATTTCAGAGACAAGAAGGGAGAGGGAGAGAGAGAGATAGAAACATCAATGATGAGAGAGTCATTGATCGGCTGCAGCCCGCAACCCAGGCATGTGCCCTGACCAGGAATCGAACCCTGATCTCCTGGATCCTAGGTCAATGCTCAACCGCTGAGCCATGCCTGGCCAGGCCCTTTATCCCCTTTTAACTTTGAAAAGGTTTTAANTCCATGCCTGGCCGGGCCCTTTATCCCCTTTTAACTTTGAAAAGGTTTTAAATGTATTTTCAAAATTAACTTTAACTGCCATTTTAAAGTTTCATTCAACTTTAAAACTTGCTCCAATATAATCACCAAAAAGAAATGCATATTAAACCATATTTAGGTTGCTGAAATCATTACTTATACCTGTGGCTTACACATCCAAAGCAGAAAATGTCTAAAATAGGCTAAAACCCCAAATATGAAAAATCTCATTTTGAAGAGTCTTTACTAAGTGAATTAGATTAAAACTGACATCAGTTTCCCTAGGAGAAACTGAAAAACAGAATTCCCAATTTTCACCTACAATCCATATGAACAAAGGTCTAAAGGTCCTACCCAAATAAAAGAAATTAATAATTAATTTCCACTCAAAGTATAACGATGCTAATATTAGGGTAAGTTTTAAAAAAACTTCAATAACAGAAATTACCTTATCTTCATTACATACTGAAATGTATATTTTAAATACTTTTAAAAGTATATATTATTTAAATAAAATACAATAACTCAATGGGCACTTTTATTGAAATGTATCCGTTTCCAAAAGCTGGAAAGCCATCAATCTGTAATTCTTTTCTCTGCTTTAAGTCACAAAGATAAGGCAGAATTTTGAAGAGAATAAAACTACAATCCTTTAGCACAGCAATTTTCAACCAGTGTGCTGCAAGAATTTTTAAAACATGCAATTTCCTCACTATTTCATCAGGGACACTGACCTCTTTTCCCTTAGATTATCAAATAAAAAAATGACAACAGCCAACACAACAATAGCCATCGGGTATGAATAATTCTTATAAGTAGAAAGTTTCAGTTATACAAGATGAGTAAGTCCTAGAGGTCTACCCTACAGTATGTAGAGCTCTAGTTAACAACACTGTATTGTATACTTAAAATTTTTCTAAGAGGTAAGTCTTATGTTAAATGTTTTTATACAAAATAATGATGATAATAATAATAAAAAAGACAGAAGAAAACAATTATACCTATCTTTTTGGTGAGATCAGAAAAAAAAATTTTTTTTGGTGTGCTGCAGAATTTTAGTAATTAGTTTATGTGTGCCCGCAGATGAAAAAGGTTGAAAATAGTTGCTTTAGCAGATTATTTCAGTTGTTATGTTTGGGACCTACCATAGTGACGGAAATTAACAATAATCTCAGCTCTAAGAATTAAGAAGCTGCACAAACCAGATAAGTTCGTTATTAAAATTAAGGCAGTATATGGAAACTTGATAGAATAGCTGGGATGCCTTTGTCACTAAAAGTAAATGATACCTCTAGCACACCGATTTGGTGTTAAATTTCCCTAAAGCTCCAATACTCCTGTTAATTGGGGACAAGCCCCAACAAATTCATTAAGATGTAAGTTGAGTGCACATCACTCAAGGCTGGGGAAAACATTGGCCTAGACTAAGCTATGATTGCTAAAAGCTAAAGGTCTGTGAGAAGTGCTCTTTAAATCAGGATCTAAATAGTATTCTATTTAAACACTAAGGTAATGACAATATGTTTAAATTGTTTTCTAACTGCCATTTTGGAAGGTAAAACGAGAATAAATGAGTGAATGGTCTGACTCAAGTAACCATATATTTAGATCATCAAATAGCATAAATAAAAATGTAATAAAAATTATTTCTGGAAAGATGAAAATAAAATGTCCCTAGATCTCTGATAATAATGCTGTTGGTGGGCAATATGCGAACAGATTCACACAGGAACAATGAATACAAAAGCCAAGAGCCCGAGCTCTAGTTCCTGAGCTTCACAGAGACAAACAATTTCTTGGAAACGTAATTTTTTTCTATTTTCTTCAATTAAGTAATATACAATTTAGTTATGTAAAAGGAAATGTACTAGATGCGGGGATACGGAAGTGTTAAAAAGTGAGCTATGCCCACAGCTAAGATAGGGCAGGTACTTCATCACAGGATCACCAGTAAGAGTAAAGCAAAAGGAGCCCTCCTGGCATGTTTAAAGAGCTAATCGCTGGCCTAATGCACGAAAGGATGAGAATCTTCCCTTAAACGTTTTCTAGGGTCAGTGCTATTAGTGCGCTATTATGCTCCGTTTAAAGTATTAAGAGTCTCTAAAGGCGGATTTAAAGATATGCACTATCTATCCTGATCCTCTATAAAATGAAAGGGTAATTCATATTACACATGTGAGCCATAGAGATGGGAATGGTCTGTGCAGCAAGCACTGCTGCAGTGTACGCCACTTGTTAAAGAACACAGAACTGGGCACACGTTAGAGACAGACAGCCCTTTCTCAGAGGCCCGGCGTAAATGAGTGATAAATCTCAGGTTAGAACTTCACCATCTGAAGCTCTGACTAGTTTCTTTAGCGTTGAAACCAAGCTGTTGCCAATTTACTTTTCAAAATATATATTTTGTTGCTATTTAAACAAAACAATGCATGTGCACGGTTAAAACAAAAGTCTCTTCCTCTCTCCAATACAGTTCTATCAGAGCAACCCACTTTCCCCTCTTTAATTTACTTAGGTCTAGTGATTTATCTTCATCTCTCTAAATAATATATTCATGATTAGTTTCATCCATTTTCGAAATATCTACTGATTCCAATTCTGGGAAATAAGTTTGGTTCATTTGACTTCAATCCATTCCTCTCAAATTCTCTACTGGCTAATCTTTCCACTTTATAGCTCTTTGTTCTTTGCTCCGCCAAACATATACAGTATTTCTACCCCCCTTTCCTCGTTCTTCTTACTCCTTATTTTTGTCTCCTGCACTTTTATATTTTTATTTCAGGGCTGATAAAATATTCAATTATCTAGCATTGAATTTTCTATGCTATTCCTATTAGTACAAAGCTGACTCTTGAATACGGGGTTTGAACTGAGCAGGTCCACTTACATGCAGATTTTCTTTTTCCAAAAAATACTGTAAATGTGTTTGCCTTATGATTTTAATAGCATTTTCTATTCTCTAGTTTACTTGATTGTAAGAATACAATATATAATACATATACAAATATGTGTTTATCTAAGGTGTATGTTATCGGTAAGGCTGTTAGTAAAGTTTTTTGGGAGTCAATAGTTGGCATGTGGACTTTTTATTGTGCAGAGGAATTGGCACCCCTAACCCCCATATTGTTCAAGGATCAAAACTGTATTTCCAAAATTCTTCTAAGGATAAAAAACACATGGAGTGCTTGTTAAATAGATCTCTGGACCCTGATTTCATTCATAGTAGTAAATCCAAACTTGAGAAAATCTGGCTATCTATATTTTTGGCAAACCCAAATAATTCTTTTTTTTTTAATAATTTTTATTTTTGTTTAAAGTATTACAGATGTCCCTTTTTCTCCCCAATGACCCGTTCTCCCCCCCGTTCCTTCCCCCTCCCCAGTCCCTCTCCCCACCATTGTCCGTGTCCTTGGGTTGTGCATATATGCATATAAATTCTTTGGTTACTCTCTCCCCCTCCACCTCCTCTCCCCCTTCCCTCTGACATTTCGTCAGTCTCAACTATGCTTCCATGTCATTGAATCTATTCTGCTCATCAGTTTATTAAGTTCTTTAGATTCCACGTATAAGCGAGATCATGTGATATTTTTCTTTCGCTGCCTGGCTTATTTCACTTAGCATAATATTCTCCAGGACCATCCATACTGTCCCAAATAATTCTTACACTCAGGGAAGTTTGAGAAGCACTGTCAATGTGTTGCTTTTAGCCAAGTAGAATATTAAAATTAAATTTCCTGTCTTGTTCTGCTTCTATTTCAACTTGTGCTTCTAATTATCTCTCTGCCATTGTGGGTCATAATCATATCTATAAATTGTTTTAATGCCTCACAGACACCATCAAAACTATGGAATTCTCTCTTTACCCATGTAGCTCCCTGTGGAAGCCTACCCTCCTGCTGATATCTGGACTGAAACCTTGCTTGGCATCCTCAGACTTCATTTCTTTGGTTGCCAGTAAGATCTTCTGCTTTCTGGATCCCATGCATACATCTTTCTTTGTTTGTTTCACAGAAGAGTATCCCAAACCTATGTTCTGTAAGAAAGGCTGCATGTGAAGTAAATGTCCCAAGTCTTCATTCAATCTTCACCCCAGGCTAATGGTTGTCTGGGTAGAGAATTATAAGAGGAATATTATTTTCTCTCAGAATTTTGAAGACATTACTCCAAGCACTCAGTGTTGCTAAGTCAGATACCAATTTAGCTCTCATTCCTTTCAAGTCACCTGTCCTCCCCTCCTTGCACCCTGCCACAGGATCTTCTTCATAGTCTCAGTTTAGGATCTTCCTTATAGTCTCAGTTTTCTGAGATTTCACAATTATGTGTCTGGGATTTAGAATACTCGGGTCCTTAAATTCTTAGTTCTCTTCTATTATCCCTTTGATAATTTCTTCTGCATTTTATCTCTTCCTTCCTTCTGGAACACGTATCAGCCAAATGTAGGACTTTCTAGATTGAATTTCCATATCTCTTCTTTTTCTTTTAAATTGTTCAAAATATTACAGATCTCCCCTTTTCCCCACTGATCCCTTCCACTCCGCACCCATTCCCCTTCCCCAGGCCTTCACCACACTAGTCTATGTCCATGGGTTATGCATACATGTATATATTCTTCGGTTAATCTCTCCCCCTCCACCCATCCACCCACCCACAACTTCCCTCTGAAATTCGTCAGTCTCAT